ATGAGCGCTGGCCTGATGTCGCCTCCTCTCTCCGTATCACCCGAACCCGCCTTCATTGCCGCCTCGGCCGCTTCTCAGATCGTCACCAACGATCACGATAGTCACGCAGATACCTGGTACGATCAACATGGAATCGAACCCGCAGGAGAGACGGCTTTGGTGTCGACGGCCGCGCTGCAATTGGTGAATAGCTTCCTCGACCAGCTCCTCTTCAACTTTTTGTCTGCCTCCCGCGCAACGACTCTTGCCGCCCTGCGACCAGCTGTGTCCGAAGTCTTGAAACCAAAACTCGCCAAAGATGCTATTAATCAGGCTGATGAGGAGCTGCGGGAGTACCTTGGCGGAGGTGATGAGGATGACCTGATCCAGTCGCAAAGTCCGTCCTCGCAGAGGGACTGGGACTTAGAACTTGTTTGGAAGCGGACGCGGCTGAGGTGCATGGTGTACTCGTCGCTCGGTGACATGGAGGAGGAAGACGAAGACTACTACATGGAGCAGGAAAATCTCAAGCCTGCCATGGATGAGCGCGGCCCCGAAGTCATCTCCCCTGCGGTCGCTATTTTCTTGACGTCAATCCTCGAATACATGGGCGAACAAGCCCTGGTCATTGCCGGCCAAGCCGCATACCACCGTCTACGAGCGAAGTTCGAGAAGGAGCCCAAGGAGGGCGCAAAGAGCATTGCCGATGTTGCTGACAGGATTGTGGTTGAGGAGCTGGACATGGAACGGGTCGCACTTGACAGGACTCTTGGCAGACTTTGGCGGGCATGGAAGAAGAGGTTGCGCTCTCCTACTCTGGAATCGCGCCCCTTTTCGCGCAATTCTTCCGGTCATCCCAGACAATCCAGTACTCCGGAGGCCCGCGAGACCGCGCTCCCTGCAAAGGGCCTCGGAATTCAAGAAGCCCCAATCGAGGAACCCGAAATCGACGACGTAGAGGAATACGTGAAAGCATCGGCCATCCCTCTGCCGATGCGGGATCGCGATGTTGATGAGATCGAAGTACCGGGATTGGCTTCCTACAGCGACGACGAGGAGTCGGATCATGAAGGTGAAGACGAGCCGGCGGCGCAACGACCGAAGAGCCTGATGATCTTTACTTCCCAGCCCAGCAATGATTTGCCCACCCCCACAATGTCTCAACCTCACACGCCAATTGCTCCCTCGACTCGCAAGCGCTCAAATTCCTTGCCGACCCCTTCGCCGTCCCCATACACCTCTCCAATTGTCAAACGCACCCGGGCTGAGCCAATTGAGACCGGTTTGGTTGATGAGCAGGTCGGCATTCCAGAGAAGGAAATTTCTACAGAGGCTGTGGAAGCCCTGCCAACCGAGACGCTGCCAACCCCAGACGACTTCACTAAGCCGATCGTAGAGCAAGGGCCGGCTGAGACTCGGGAAGAAGAGTCAAAGCCAGTCTCTGATGAAGCTCCTGAGCCGAAGCCTCGCAACCCTAATCGCATCTCACAAGTTGTCGCCCCTGCCGTCGCGACTGCGGCATCCGCAGCGACCACAGTCGCTGTTGCTTCCACAGGCAAGCCACCACAGAAGGAGACTCGATCAGCAGAAGAAAGTGGCGATATCGACGATTTTACCGAGGAACCAGAAATCTGCACCTCCTCTAGAGTTTCCATCGCTGGGCGTAGCTCTCCGAGCATCTCCGACTCCGGCAAACCTGTCGTGGTCGCTCCAAAGTTGTTGCAAAGAACACCTAGCGTCCACTCAGCTCGCGTTGTTGACGTTCACGGGCCTAAGAGCCCTGTGACCGGCTCCAGAGCGTCTTCGGTTGACGCTTCTGACCGCTCTCAGCAGGCCAGCCTCTCCCGTGCCAACAGTGTTTCTCGCGTAACACCACCCATCATCGAAGAGAAGCCGAAGCCTAAGCCAGTAGAGATTGAAACCATTATTCGGTCATCAACCTCGACACCGCGTACTCGGTCTCCCGTTGAGAAGTTGTCTCGGAGACAAAACACAAACGAGTCCATCTCAGAAGTTGACGAGGATGCCCAAGCTCAACCTTCACGGCTAACATCGGCTGCGTCAATACCAACGCCCACAGCCGGTACTCCTGCAATCAGGTCTTCCCAGGCTATTTTCAATTCTTCCCAACGCACAGGGTCACCTCGTCGCGATCACACTTCATCCGCTACTAAAGTCACCATCTTGAGGGACACGCACAACAACGGGCCTATCGCCGAGGAACCTTCGCCACGCCATCGGTCTCACACGACGCCAAACGTGACTGACCGCAGTGGTGGTCGGTCAGCCAATGGAACTCACTCCCCAGCGGCGAGCATTGGAGTCGTGACTGTTGAGCGATCTACTGCTGCTGGACGCGACTCCCCCGATCGCCCCAGGCACCTGCGAACCTCCGGCTCCTCTGGCTCTTCGAGCACGGGCAAGATCCGAGCCGTCAGGACTTCTGAAGATAGCAAGGCTTCCGGCCGTGCCGATAACCTCGCTCGTAACTTTGAGGAGCTCATTCAGAGTGACCAGACCATTCAGTACACGCTTACGCCGGAGAGCATGCGTGACATTGATGTGAGTTGTGTTTCTTCATTGCCTCCATGGCATCCACTAATGGTCATGTAGGGAAACCGTGCACAAAGCGCAAGTCCGGTAGTTGGACCCAAGTCGAGGAGGAGCGAAGACGCCCGCACGGCCTTGAACGGCGAACGTAACAGGTCTGTCTCTGGAATCGATATCCGAAGGACCATGTCTGTCAGCCGCGCAACCGGCTTGAACTCGCACCCACCCGAAGCCAAGAACAAAGGTTTCGTTCCGAAGGCACCTCCTAGCACAACCCTCACTCGGTCGCGTACCGGCGGTCCACAGGCGAGAGACGCTCGGGTACCCCGCGACACTGCGATGAACGATTTTGCCGACTTCATCAGGTCTACCGGCCCGACAGCTGACAACGGTCCTGCACCCCTACGGAACGTCAGCGGCCCACCGCCGCCTGTGAAACACAGCTTGGATTCGAGACGCATCTCATCATCGAACAACCGGCCACGACTACAAGCGCGGGATGCTGCCGTCGACAATCGCGAGGATAACTCGGACCTAATCGATTTCATCCGACGAGGACCGCCTAGCTCGAGCAATCCCCGTATTCCTCGAACAGTGGCTCCATTCCGGACAACGATGGATTCTGACCAGATGTCGGGTGCTGTGGGTGGCAAAGCTGTTGATGCCAGCTTGCCAGACATTCGATACAGTCAAGCGTCGACCAACGTGACGGATATCACCCAGCCCTCTGTACAGTCGTCGATCAACTCCCAGAGCGCTCTTCTTAAGAATCGTCCCAGTGGCAACGGCTTTGATGACGACGAAATGATGCCCAAGCGCACGAGACGTCGCGTGCGCGATCCGTACGCCATCGACCTTAGCGATGAAGATGAGGAGGATTACGCGCAAGCTGTCCGGCCTCCGCCAAAGAAGGAAGAGAGCCTGGCCGACTTTTTGAAGAACTACTCGCCGCCGCCCGAACCCGCTGCCGCCCCTCACAACGTTCCCAAGAGGAAGGCGAGCGCTCCTAGTCTTATTGGACGCTTCTCCAGGAAGGACAGCAGTGCGGGATCCAACAGCGCAAAACCAGCCAAGGTTGACAGTCGGTCCTTGAACAGCCGCGCTGGAGGTGCACATGGTCACGTTCCAATTCAAGTCAACGCTCCTGGTCAGGACAAGTACGGGGCTTCTGACGCTACTGCCAGCCGTGGAGCCACGCATTCCTCGGGACGCGTGCCGATGAAGAAGTTTGAGCCAAGGGAGGCCGTTTCGTCCACGAGCCGCACCAACGACCTGGCCTCATTCCTTCGCAGCTCCGAGCCGCCACAGATGACGCCTGCGGCCCGTGCCGCTACCGGAGAGCCTCAGCAACAAAGCAGCGGTAGCAGCTTTTCCAAGATGTTTGGTCGCCGGAAGAAGTCAAACTTGGCTTAGTTGCCCAAGCCGCGCCGGCGCGAAGCCACGACCTGAATGAAGATCACGACCTCTCTATCAAGTACGGAGAAAATTACAACAACCATATAGCGTCTGTTCGTCTTATTGTCACGCAAGAAATCTGTCACCTGGTTATGGTTGTACCGAGGGGAAATTCGGCACACAGCCGAGCCCGGGTTGCTCTGTTTGGTTCTACCTTTTTGTTTCTACACACTCGTGCCTCGCGCTCCATGTTTTGATACCACTCTTCCCAAAGATGGGATAGGATTTTGTTCATTTCTTGAGCGGTCTCGACCAAGGACCCTTAGGTAGTCTTTGGCATCGTTTTCTTTGGATAATAGGATCCTTGATGGACTCTTGACAGTTCACTTGGGCAGCGAAAGACGAGTCTGGAAGCACTCTTAGTTAGATACGCAAAAGCGGTCAACAATACAAAACATGCTTCTCTCATATTTCTTCTCTCAATATTATTAGATCATGGCTTGGGATTGAGATTTGGGAAGTCAAAGGACAATTGACCCTTACAAAGTAGATACTGGCGATTGCCAGGGCAGGGGTGGATGGTGGGCCCTGTCCGCAGACTTGATAGTCTTCAACATGGTGCTAATCATGCACTCGTCGACTGGCAGGCCGGGGGTGACCTGAAGCGATTCAATCCCATTGGCCCCAGCTTCGTTGAGCCCGTTTGGACCGCTGCGGGAGGGTTACACTGACGAATTGCCAGTACCGGACGTCTGTCTCCATCGGTAAGCTCTGCAACGCCAGACAGGACGAAAGACTCAATACACCGAAGGATGTCGCGGAGCGGCGGAGCGTTTTCTATGGACTAGTGTACGAAGCCACAGCCTCCCCCATGTTCCGCGAATTAATGGGGATTCGTTCCCACTACGGAGTACAAGTCTACAAAACGGTGCTCTCCCGCCGCCACGCCTATGGGGCACTCTAGAAGTCCAGAACTCACGCCCCCAGGACGACTCGCACATAGGCGGGAACTAGCCCATTTCTTTTTTTGTTGTTACAAGCCAAGGCCATCCGTAGCAACAGGGAATCGCACAATCATGGCTGAGCCTTCTTCCACCGTCCCGTTAGCTACCACTGCTGCTAGCCCCGCACCGGGAACGGCTCCGGCTGGTGATGCTCCTGTGCCGCCGGCGGCGGCAGCGCCAGCTCCGGTAACCAACGACAACAACCCGCCGAGCCCGGCACCGGCGCCTCTCGAACCTGATGAGGATGAAGGCAACGTCCGTTTTCTTCGCTTGATTCTGAACAATTCTCACCATTGGTTTTCCGCCCAATCATAAGAATGAACATGAAAGCTAATATTGGGGCTTTAGTTCACAGAGGGTTCTTCTACAGCTGATGACCGCATGTGCGTATTGTCTTGGTGCCTCTTCTGTAGCTCGTTTCAACTGGGCTACCCCTTTTTTGCCTTTACTAAATGAAGCTTCCCCTCTGGTTTAGCTCGAGTTATACCGCCTCGTTATCCTCGAGCGTCGTAGATTACCCCATCGAATACGGACGTCGCTATCATGCTTTCCGACCAGGATGTCAGTTATTCTTTTTTCCATCTTTTCCGTCGCCTTTAGTCGCTTGCACGTGATATTCTAACTGAAGGTTTAATGCGTAGCGTATAAATTCCCTAATGATGAGGTACTGAGAAAGCTACCCCTGTGTTCATCCATATAGCCAACAAGAGCCGTCAGCTGACTTCTTTCTAGTCTGAGATGGATAGGCTCGATCTGGCCCATGCGATGATGGTCAAGGCGATTGGGAGCAGGCTGTATAACGCGCCGCTGAAGAAGGAAAAGGTGCAGAGGATCCTCGATATCGGGACTGGGACCGGACTGTGTATGTCGTGAACACCCTCCTCTCCTCTTCTCCGTTCTGAGGGTCGTCATTGAGATCTGCTTGCTAAGTTTTGCACGTTCGTGTTTAGGGGCCGTGGAAATGGGCGACATCTTTGAGAACGCAGAGGTATAGTACCTGGTCTACTTCGACCAAGTCTTTCACCACTCGGTGGTAAACTTCGTAGTAGCCTTACTGACGAGGAAGTTCAGGTTCTCGGCATTGATCTGAGTCCCATCCAGCCAGAATGGTATGATATCCTCTTACCCATCCTCCCCTAGTACCCAGCATCAAGACCTCATGATCATGAGAGAGTGTAAGCGCCCACTTTTACTAACATGATCCAAAAAAAGGGTCCCTCCAAACGTCAAATTCGAAATCGACGACGTCGAAAGCCCGTGGATCGGGAACAGGAAATACGACTTCATCATGTGCCGGTACATGGTCGCCTCCATCAAGGACTGGCCCGGCCTGATCAAGAACATATTCGAGTACGTCTTTCCTCGTCCCTTTCTTCCCGTCCTCCCATCCTCCCGTCCTCTCGTCCTTAGGGTGGATGGAAAGCCCCCCTTTTCCAAGAGTAATGTACGAACCAGGCGGCAGCGAAGAGAGACCTGACTAACACCACAAAACAAACAACAGCCACCTAAACCCAGGAGGCTGGGTCGAATTCCAAGACGTAAACACGCAATTCTACTCCGACGACGACACCTTCTCCCAAGACTCCGCCACCGCCCGCTGGATGGCCGGCTTCGCCCGCGCCTGTAAAGGAATGGGCCGCGACACCGACGTGGCACCGACCCTCGCCTCCCTCTTACAACAGGGCGGCTTCCCCTCGGAGACAGTCCACGCCCGCCGCATCAAGGCGCCCCTGGGCCCCTGGGCAAAAGACCAGTTCCACAAGGACCTGGGCATGATGAACCTGATCCTCACCATGGACGGCCTCGAGGCGCTTTCGCTCAAGTTGTTTTCGGAGCTGTTGGGGCGGACGCAGGAGGAGATCCTGGTGGAGACTGCGGCTGTGAGGAGGGAGTTGAAGACGGGTGCTTTCGGGGCTTTCCATGCCATGTTTGATATGTGAGTTTTTTTTAGTTTTTTTTTTTTAGTTTTTTTTAGTTTTTTTCGTTCTTTCTTCGTCATGGTGGTTGCTAATGGACTCTTTAGTTACAACGTGTATGCGCAGAAGCCGTTGGAGACGGAAGATACTACGCAGTGAACCTGGCATATCCTCGGAATTATGCAGTCCTGGACAAAGGAGTCATGATAGCTTCCAACATGACAAATGATTTACCTCGTCTTGTCATTCTCAAAACAATTATCTGTTGAGCGGCAAGTGGCCAAGAGTCTGACTTACAGATTTACAATCGCTCGCATAATCGCCGTGTTGTCTCTCAACGTGCTTTGCTCTGGATCCCAGGAGCCCATATCTGTGTTGAGCTCCGCGTGCTCTCCTGGCCAAGGAGCAGCAAATGGCAGGCAACGTAAGGCAAGGAGGGAAAGACTGAGACAAATTGGCTTACGTCCAGAGACAGAAGTGTACGAGCTTTACTCATTTCATCATTGCGTACTACTACTGCGTATTCATCGCGATGTAGACTACGGTAAACCAGAACAATCGCAAAACATTCCCTTTGGCATGTGCCCTTCGAAGCCCAACTCCAACATCAGTCCCCATCGCTAAACAAGTCGTTGCCACACGACCGTTGTAGGAACCTCACGAAACCAAGAAACTCCTAGTTTGATCCATTTGTCACCCGCGGCCGCTCCATTCGGATCCTGTCTGCCATCCAGGACCGATAACCGCATGCACCATGTTACCCTTAAACCCTCCGTTTGGTACTATTTCCTAGCCAGCGCCACCTGGCGAGAAAGCATGAGGGTATCGCCGCCGCCATTCGTAACCGTAGGAAAGAAGTGCAAAAACTAACATGCAAAACTAGTCGCCAGCGTACAAGTCCGAGGACAAGGAAAAGCACAGAGAAGAAAATACGAGAAACAAACTGCAAAAGTAGTCAATAAAAATAATGTAAAAGTAGACTCATTGAATCTGGGCCGTTGAAGTGTGCCCATGTTGCGAAACAATCGTGACAACTCCACAGCAGAGGAGTAGTCGTGACTCAGCGGTTGTGCGGAGCCGATAAGTGGTGTTGAATCAGTGACCCATTTCGTCGTCATGGCTCTGATAGCATCAGCTGATAAACTCAGAGAAACGAGAGACCCATCCGCTCTCACAGCGATGAAACGGGGTAGCGAGAAGAGGTCATGCGCCAGTGTGGAGTGGCCCTCTTTAGATCTCCATGTGGGCCACGACGTCCTCACTCATCCGCCGTACCGGGCTCTTCCGGTCAGACAGGCTCTCATCATCGTCCTCTTCGTCGTAGTAGAAGCGCTCCTCGGTGTAGTCGTCATCAGAGAACGGGACCAGATCGCCATCGGCACCCCGATTCCAGAGGAAGCCGTCGCTTTGTTCTTCGTCATCTTCGTACGGTGCCACAACCTCGGCGTCGCGGTCTCCTAGCCAGTATTTTGCGCGCTTGTTGCCGGCCAGTGCATCAAATTGGGTACTCCGCGTCCGCTTGACGGAACCCGGAAGCGCCGGTTGCAGTCGCGGCGATTGGGACGATACGACCGGGACAACGCGCACGTAGAGGTAGGCGACTCGCTTCAACGCGCGGTTGAAAAAGAAGTAGTGAGCAGCCCAGATTGCAGACTCATCTTCCTCAAAAGGATCGACGTCCGGATTGTAGCTGAAGACTGTGCATTCGTTAAGGCGCATCTCCTTATCAATTTTGGACCAGCATTGTGGGCCCCACACCGGCTTGGTCTCCGAAGACGTGGCCTGCTCGACCGGCCGTGCCTCAACATGCGGTCTGACATTTTGTAGGATTGAGTCGAGATTTCCCATCACTCTCCGCAGATTTCTTTCTTTCTTGAAGTCGCCTGGCCTCAAAACGTGCGAGAAATCGTAGTGTTGATGACTCGCGTTCAGTGTCGCAATCAGATAAGCAAATGTCCGGCGACTCGCGAGCTCTGATAAGGGGCCAAACGCGCTCGAGTGTGAGAACATTTGCATGTTGGGAGATGTTGCCAGCATGGCTTCGCGGTCTGGCGGTGAAAGGCTTGCGCCCAATTTGAGGAGCGCGGCATGTTGTGAACTAAGGTCTTTGTCGATGTTCTTGTAAAGCTTCTTATCGGAACCTGTGGATTTGGTCGTATAGAGGTCGCATCCGCCAGTCACATTGCAATCCGGTGTGTTGAAGTTTAGAGCGCCAGTGACGGCGTCGAAATCTTGCAGTGGGAGATACTGCGAGCTGGGTTAGCAGGTGTCATGGACTGCTGCAAAGGAGCATGCCTGCTGCAGCAAGTTATGCGCACCTTCATCTTGGATGATTGAGGTTCGGCCTGGGAGACCGAGATGGGATGGATGTTGGTTGGGATATATTCTGTAGTGGCGCGCAACGGATGTGTAGATCGCAAGCGCTCCAACTATTGTTCTGGCGATGCAGGGAGCTTATCGCCGGGATCGCGCCGTAATCAAGTTGTTGTGATGGAGCCGTTGGATTCCGGAGGTTAACGTGACTAAATGATGTCACAGGAGTTGGAAGTCGCGCCGGACCGAAATAGGGGTGTCTGCGGGTATCGGAATAGCGGTGACTCGGAGTCGAGGGTATGGTCAAGTAAAAGCGAAGTCGAAGCGATAAATCGCATGCGATGCGTCGCAGTGAATGATGATGAATCGGTGTGAAGACTGTTGTCTGTGTATCGATGGAAGCCGGAGCCTGCCTGCTTTAGATAAGGCAAGGAAGGAGCGACTTGACCGTGTAGATCAATTTGGTTCTGATGGATGAACGGAGACTAGACGCGTTGCGCCTAGTAGGTGATCTGGTCGACAGACATTACTGAAAGACGAACGTTGTAGTGAGGTGTATGTGTTGGAAGTTGAACGATGGTAGGGTGGTCGAAGCAGAGGGGTAAAAAGGGAAGGGAGGGATGGGGTGACGAAGGACGGGAGTTTAAGACGACCTGACGAAGCGGGAGTGAGCGGGACGTGAGCTGGGCACCCGGTGCTGTCGCAGCTCTCGGCAGGTGCGAGGACTCGCCGGTGTGAGAGGTGACGCCTTCCTGGGTGCGTGGTGGTCTGCCACTCACCTCTCTGGCTGCGTGGTCCGTGGTGTGCTGGCCGCTGTCGGTTGCTGCTATTGCTGTTACTACTGCTGCTGCTGCTTGCTGGGTCCTGGCTCACGTCTCCGTTGTTCCCCGTACCCGCTGACAAGGCCCCCGCCCTGGTGCAGCAGGGTGGATGGGTAGCTGCCGTGAGGTAAGGCAGTGTTAGGTGGTGGGCTAGTTCCAAGATAGGAACAGATAGTGGGTGGAGCCGACGGGGAGTCTGTGACAAAGCATATCTTGCGCTGTTCCAGCATGTCCGCTTTCTGGTGTTGGACTGCCGTATCGCATTGTGACCGCCTGCTTCGTTCTTGACACCGGATTCGCGGGTGTGGGGGAGACACAAGCTGGGAAGTCGAGGGTCCAGTCCCTGTCTGTTCCCTGCTTGTTGGGGGGAAGGGCCCCCTTCGCGGCCTTCGGAAACCCACCCAGCAACTCCAATCCGCCGCGTATAGGGAGGCGGGGCGCAGCCGGTAATGTCCAAGCGAATGAAAGGGCGTCAAGAGGCCACGAGCGGCTACTCCAAGCCCGTCTCGCAATATGACTTCATACTGTCTCTGGGCAATGAAGATTGGCGTTTGGTTGCGTATCGGAATGCTCGTCTATTTGTCAATTGTTACGTGTTTTCCGTGGAATGCAGTGATGCTCCATTGTCGTCGTCGCTCTTGGCCCCGTGCCCAGATCATGCGTCGTTTCTGGGGGAAAACTCAAGACTGGACAAACGTTGTGGATACAACTAAGCAACAAGCAACGCTATCTCATGTTCTTCTCTTGATGTAGTAGAGGACGGTTTTCCGCCCTCAAAGATCTATGCACACAAAGGGCCACCCGGGGGTCATTCCCGCCCATAACAGCATCGGCGCATCGTTCCCTCATTGTCGCGTATCGGCCTTCTGATATCCGGCCTGCAGTGTATCCGAAAGCCATGACGGGTCGTCAAAGGATGCCAACCTCTTTGAGAGACGATGTAATCTCTTCCGTTTCCTGCATACGCGGCAAGAGCGCCCATTAGCCAACAGACTCATAAATGGCATGCCCTCCTCGCGGCTCGTGCAACACTTGTATAGATGTCGGAGATTGGTTTCGAGGCTCGATTTATCCCGGGCTTCGTGTCTCAATCTAGCAGATAGGTACACACTGGAGGAGGGTTACATGATCTTTGTAACCTCGTCCTCGACCTGATGGGGAGTAGGAGAATCGTCAGCGCAAGACTTCGCCAATGGCGCAGCTGCAGTTCATCGTCTTGAAGGCAGAGAATACAAGTAAACAGTAAAGCATCGACTCAACGTACCTCCATGTCCTCGAGCGAATCCTGCTGGGATATACACCGCAGCACATTCTTTTTACTGCTTTCTTGTAGTTCTCCCGCCAGTAATAGCTCGTCCAAGATGTAGTAGGCTTTCGTAAAGGAGAAGATGATATCTAGCTCGCAGACGTTGCCATAGTACTTGTCCATCTGCTCGACGTAGCGATGGATGATCTCGAGGGTAATAAGTTCGTTATCTTCTGACGCCGCTCCTGCGATGAAGAATAGCGACGCATATCTGCGGTAAACGATCTTGGAATCTGGCGGGAACAAGTCAGTGACTGTCGACGGGCGAAGTGGCCAAGTTTCGAAGGTGACTGACCCTTATACTCGAGGAAGTTGCACATGCGGGTTCTACGGGCGAGGACCAGCTGAGAAACGTCCTTGACGATCTTGGCCTTTTCCTTGGGCGAGAGGGTGGTGAACCATTTTGCGAGGCGCTGTGGAGGGATCGTGATCAGCAAAGGGATGTTCGAGGGGGTTTCGGGTAGCGATGGGTGCGTACCACTTTGCCCTGGCGCGAGAGGAGGATGAGGTATCTAGATTGAATTAGTCTTCTTGCCTTGATGCACTATCAGATGCGGCCGAGGGGTCATCACGTACTGGATAGCCATGATGATGCCTTCACATCACCACCACAAGGTGGACGGAGAAGGAGATGGGGATTGAATTGAAAAGAGCGTTGTGGACCTTGAGTTGACGTCGTATGAAGTGTCCAGTGCTGTGGTGGTCGAGCACATCAAACCGAGCGCTGGATTGCGGTTGGCGACGATATGCGGTCTGTTGGGTGTGACGATACCCCTTGGTCACGTCAGGCTGATGGGCGCAAGGTGTCGAGTTTGGCCGCAGGTGTACCTTGAGCTTGAGGCTGCCGTATCCTCAGGCAGTACCTAGGTACCTAGCAGGCGACACCTGGTGACGGCGGGCTTGGAAAGCTTGAGGTGACGCCCGGTCCTGGGAGCTTCCAGCTTACGTAAGATAGACAGATAGCGAAGCGCTGTGAGTGGGATTTGACAGTGGAAGGGCCGCTGTAAAAGCTCCGTCTACTTTGGCTGGAAAAGCTCGATATCTCGTTCGAATTGGTCAAGGTACCTCTATCTTTCAGCAGACAATAACCATGTGTGTACGCTACCTGGACTGCCGTACCAAACGGAACAAAGCCCGGTCTTTCATTACTGCCGGCTTTGTGCGACTCGAGATTGAAGTCTTTGAATGCCGGTAATCGTGTGGTGATGGGATTGAATAAAACAGAGACATTGGATGAGCGATTCATGCCGACAACGGCCTCTCATAGGCCGTCGCGATTGCTGCGGTTCTACGGAAGCCTCCGGAAGGTGCAGACAAATCACTCCAGGGCGCTGACGCGATGGGCAAAACCCCCACCAAGTGCCACTGACCTGCCCCCCGGAGTCGCGCTCCTGCCGAATTTGCGGCGGGATGAGGGGTGGATGGCGGGATGTGGTCGGTGCCCGGATGGAAGTTGCGAGGCAGGAAACGCCGTTGCCGCAGGATCGAAGATGAACGATTTCCACGGATGTCTTGACACCTACTCGAACGACTTGATTCAGTCGGCACACACTGAGACGGACTTGAATGGAAATTTCTCTTTCATTTCCCGTCCTCGTCCAGTTTTTGAAATAAAGGCTGGCCCAGTCCTCCACTCTCTTTCCGCAAGCCTTTCCCCTCCACCGTCTACTACCTATTCCACGAGATACAAAGTCACAACTCCACGGAGACCTACCTAGAGAATAAACACCATCATCGATCCACATCCACCCGCGGGTCCCATCCTAGAAGAGTCTCGCGCGTACTTCTAGAACCCATCCCCACCTACCACCGTCCCCCTCGCTGCATTCGCTGCATTCGCTGCATATCACGACTTTTCCTCGTACCATACCTACAGATACAGACTACTACTCCATCTCATACGCCCTTTATCTCCGATTTTGGGGGCCTCGACACACACCAGCCGACATCCGCCTGCCGTGCGCCAACGATTAATAATTACCCCGTCTCACCTTTGAACCCGAGCGGACCGTACCTTTCCTTATCGGCCCCTCGACCTGATTCCGATTGTTAATCACCCCTCCAAAGTCTAAAAATCAACAGGCACCAAAAAAAAAAAGTTGCTGAGGAAGATCGGAACGCCCTCCCCTCTACATTGCGCAATCAAGACCCTTGACGTCGCAATCTTTTCTCGACTACCAGTTCATTGCATCTGATCTTGAGCTATAATATCGCGATATTTACCTTATCTACTACCATTGACAATATCGCCATGACGAAACTCATTCTCTCCACTGGGTTTGTCACACCTTTCATTGATTCCCACCATAGAATCGTTCCGTGCGCTCTGATGCTGATTGGCGATCTCCGTTGCATGCAGAAACATTGTCTCGGGCGGCCCCTCCATAATCCGCAAACCGGGAGCCTACAGGTCGAACCTTGAACTCACCAACTCGCTGCGAAGCAACTTTCTCGCTGCCCAGCAGGATTACTCGCCTTACGAAGAATCTTCTCCCATCGATGACGATGACGAACCCGTGAATGGAAACGGTTTGAACGGCCACTCCAATGGCTTCTCCCACAACTCGAACGGCCGCCGGCCTCGCATCGACGTGTGGACCGCTCGCGAGGACGATGCGCTCTTCGTCCCGCGGATAGACTGGTCCTACTCTGGACTACAAGAAGAGCCCGACAACTACGACGTTACCGTGAAGCTATTCTTCCTCCCTAATGCCGCTCCGCAAGACCGGGCCCAGTACGTGCAGGATGCCTTGAGCCTTGTGCGAAAGGAGCTAGGGGTAACGACGATCGATCTTCTCATCGCGTCCTTCCCGGGCATGTCATTTGAGGGCGACTGCGAATGGGAAGCCGACAAGCGCAATGCCTCTCAGGGCAACATTGACGAGGAGGCTGCGACATGGACCGTTCTTGAGGATCTGTATAAGCGTGGGGAGGTCAAGGCCCTCGGCATCTCCGAGTTCGGCACTGAGAAGCTGGCCAAGTTCATCAAAAAGGTCAGCGTCCGGCCGGCCGTCGACCAAATTAACATCAAGGACTGCTGCAGCGTTCCCCCGACGCTGGTCAAGCTGGCCAAGACGGAGGGCGTCGAATTGCTTGTCCACACCGATTGCACCGACATCCTGCCCAGAGGCACCCTCCGCGAGCTCCTCGGTCACGGCCTGCAGGGCGCTGGCGTCCTCGCCGACCCTGCCGAGGACCAGGAGGGTCTGGAGGGCGACCTCACACCTGAGTGGGTGGTCAAGTACACTGCCTTTGTGAAGGATCGCGGTGTCATTGAGAATAAGGGGTACTTTGCCGGCGCAGAGCTTGTCGAGACCTTCTAAGTAGACGTTGTCTACCATGATTTTGGCTACATGATTTATTTTTTTGATACCATGGCTGAACAATACAGCCTATAGATATACACTGCATAGCGTTTCTGATGTCTGGCGATTCAGGGTCTCTTTGACGGATTATACGAAGCCCCTTTCTTGGTATCTATCAGAGAACTATTTTTCCCTTCAAGATATTTATTCTGCCCAATCTCGCCCATGTCTTTTTGACTCGTGTGCCACACAGCATTTTGTGACTGTCTATTCTCTCAACAGAGCCTCAGCAAGCCTTTTCCCCCGCTCGCCACCGAGGTAGATATCGTCCTCGATGCTCTCCAGGCCCATATCCACGGCCACCTTGTACCCCCTGACGACCATGTCCTCGTCGACGCGCAGCCCGTTCTCCACCAGCGCAAGGATGACGCTCCGTATCCGCGCGACCTCGCGCATCGTCTCGTCGTCAATCTTGTCGTTTTGGCTCGAGTAGACGTTTGCGCTGACGCTCTCCTCCATGCGGTTCAGCCCCACGCTCTCGGCGCCCGCGTCGCTCTCGACGTGCTTGCTGATCCAGATGAAGCCGTTGACGCCGAGCGTGACGTGCACCTTTGCCGCGCCGCGCGCCGCGTCCATGACCCACTGCTGCCTCTTCGCCCTCACCACGCCGCCGCCGCCTCCGGTGCCCGTAACGGCGACGAAGACGCCGTTGCGCAGCTTGCCGTATTTGAGGGAACGCGTGTGCAGGGAGGCGGCGCCGTCCTGGTGGAGCTGCTGGACCTCTGCGACGACGAGGTCGCCCTCGGCGAAAAAGGAGCGGATCTGGAGCTCGTCGGTGTCGGTGCGCTTGCGGAGGATGCCGCCGGGGAGGTTGATTGCCGAGATTTGGAGGATGGCGAGTTGGGAGGAGCCGACGTCGACGCGCCAGCGTTTGGCTTGGACTTCGACGATGCGGCCGACGACGAGGTCGCCTATCTCGGGGGTGTAGCGGGCGCGGAGGGGGCGGACGGAGAGGAGCTTGTTTGTGCGGGTTACGGTGCCTGCGACGGAGGAGACGATGTCTGTTGTGTTTTGGGTGATGTAGGTTCCGTGGCCTCTGTTTTGTGGCGATGTCAGCTAGGGGTTTCTCTTTTCTGTAGTTTCTGTCTTTCCACAGCTTCCTATGGATATATTGTTGGGGCCGACAAACCTCATCCACTGGGGGTCGTCGGTGATGATCTCGCCCGGCGTGACGATTTCGTAGTTGTCGCCGCGGGAGCGTTTCGCGGGGCGCATGGAGATGTCACCCTCGATATCGGCGCCGCCATCTGAGTCTGAGTCCGAGTCTGCTGCTCCTGCTCCTGCGGCAGCGTAGGGCTTGTGATGTGACGGCGTGCCACGCGGGGCGAGGATTGTGATGGGCATGGTGAATTTATGGTTTTACGGCGGGAAGGCCGTTGGGGCGCTGAGGAAACAGTCGGACTTTCGGTATCGTATGATTCGGCTTGCTTGAGAGTATGATTTGAGAGGGTTTTTTGCGCCGATTGCACAGTGGGATTTGTGGTGGTTGCTGTTTAGTGGATGTGGATGTGGTTGAGATTGTTGCTTGCAAAGAATTTTTGGTGAAGCTTTGGAGGGGCAGTTTGGAGCCTTCAATCGGCGGGCGATGCTTGCCTGCACCTTACATTTTTTCTTTTGACAGCACCACAACAGCTGTAAACTTTACCGGTAATCGGTACATTATATGTCTAATTGCTACCAGAGTGTGCCTTTTGTTTGATTCATTAAAATTGTCGCTTTTGATTACATGACAGTATTGTACACTATTACAACAGTATTTGCAGCAAGTATCTGGTAGAGTTATCTCTCACAGCATCCGCCCAAAGATCGTCAGTCCGCCGTCAAGCAATCAGTTTTGTGCCAGCTGTAGGGCCAAAGTGGCTGAGATATCTTGATCGTGGCCTTCTTTTACGGGTTGCCGCTACGATTCTTTATCGTAGGCGCCTGAGATCCGCTCGCGCGAGGCCGTCAACAGAGTGGCGCCAAGCTTCGCCTGCCGGTAGCATCGGCTCTCTCATGTCCTTGAGGCCATCTCCCGCGGACGCGCCTGGCCTGACTGTTTGAGTTGCGATTTTTGCTCATTATCCCGATTCCTCTCTTCGTCTCTTTCATTCGTCCGTCGTCTATTTGAACAGCCTCCACAGGCCAAGATACGCCAGGCCAATGGAGATACTAGCGACGCCCAGCTTGCGGCTTCCCATGCCGAACCTAGATCCCGACTTGAGAATCTCCGCGCGTTGCCGTTCGACGTGGCCCATGCCGGAGAGGTAGTTGTATGCCGCAAGGCCGAGGAATGCGCCGCCTCCTATTCGGAAGATGCCGCATTAGCATGGCTTCCCTACTGCTGCCGAGCACCACAAGCCTGGGAGAATAGTGGTGGCTTACCAATGACCCTGCACGATGTGCAATCGTCGCCGCGGTCCTCGCGCAGGAGCTGATCGAGGTTTTCAGGCTTGTCTAGGGTGCCCACGGTGGGCATTTTGTCTCCTCCTCCGATCATGGCGGCGAAGGCGTGTGGGGTGAGCGGCTTGGTTCTGAGCGGTCTTCAAGATTTGGCTACCGAATGCTTTTTGCGACGAACGACAGGAAGCTCCTGACAATGGCAGTGATAGACCATAGAGGCCTGGGGAGCTTGGTGCAGCGACAAGGGTATAGCTCGCTGCTGATTGGCTGTATTGGGCTGTTCCCTTGCACTAACATTTAATTCCATCATCGAGCATGTGCGGCGCCGCCAAGGTACGCGGGGCCGGTCTGAGTGTGGTTCCCGGACGTGGGAGCTCCAGCGGCAGCCAGACATACTGACAGCAAGCAAACAACCTCCCACCCCCCACCACCTCCGACGACCACGGCGCAGCCTCCGATGCCGACCTGAACGATGAACGGCGTTATTGAGGCGCTGCACATCTACGATGAGCACAAGTCAGTCTACAGCATATCCATCATCCAGACCCGCCAGAGCTAACATACTCTACCCTCGACAGCCATGCCATCCTGTCGCACACGTATACCTCCCGCCCGCTGTCGGCGCAGCACCTCCTGCCCCTCTACCTAGAGCACCCGGCCCCGCGCCCGAACCTCGTCTACCTCGCCAACACGAACCCGCCAACACTCGTCTTCAGCCTCAAGCACGCCAACCTGCTGTTCCTGGCCACCTCGTCCTCCGAGATCGAGCCCCTGCTCGTCCTCGAGTTCATCCACCGCATCGTCGACGTCTTTGAGGAGTTCCTAGGCGCGCCCTTGCTAGCGCACAAGATTGAGAGCAATTATGATGTAGTCGCGCAGCTGCTCAACGAGATGTGCGATGCGGGGACGATCAACACGACGGAACCCAACGCGCTGAGGGATTTGGTCGAGGTTGAGGGATGGGTGGGCAAGCTGCTTGGCAGCATCACCTTGCCTGGGTAAGGGAGACACTTCGAACGCATATGAAAGGAAAATCGGTCTGACGGAGTTCACGTAGGAAACCTAGCAACTTTGGCACGGGCTTCGCCAACCCGAGTACGCCGTCCTTGATTGCCCAAAATACGCCGGCATTACCCTGGCGCAGGGCTAACGTGAGGCATACGTCCAACGAGATGTACGCCGACATCGTCGAGACCCTGACTGTGACTCTCGCACCCTCGGGGCGGCCCCTGGCAGCATTCGCCAACGGAACGATAGCCTTCACGTGTAAGGTGTCTGGCATGCCCGACATTGTCATGACATTAACGAGCCCCTCTGGGAAACACAACCTGGCTGGCTTCATGGACCTCCCAGTATTTCACCCCTGTGTCCGTCTGTCACGGTGGAAGGAACGACCTGGCGAACTCAGCTTTGTACCACCAGACGGCCGATTCATCTTGGCCAGCTACGAGGTCGACTTGCTACCATTCACGAACGGCAAGAGCGGTAGTTTAAGTGCCAACAATCTCAAGCTCCCTGTCAACATTGAGATGAAGACCGGGCTGGGCCTTACGGGCTCCGACTTTGAAGTGCGGTTACACGTCAACAAGGTGCTGGGAGGCGGTGGCCCCTCATCGTCAAGTCAGTACGGAAGAGGTGGCGGCGGTGGTGGAGGAGCAGGTCGAGGCTTCGGCGGCCCCCACCCGGGAACTCCCTCGTCGCCTCTGATGGAGGATCTGACCGTCACGGTGCCGTTGCCGGCAGAGGTTAGAAATCTGTCGGAGCTGCGGCCCAGCAAGGGAGACGCGACCTTCAACCCCAGCGAGAGGGTCCTTGAGTGGCACGTCCCCACTAAGGAGATATCCTCTGGCACGTCCTACTTTGGTCTTAGGTGTACCGTAGTGGGCCAGCTGCCGGACGAGGACGAGGACGAGCTCGACCCTAACGGGTTCGGGTTCGGCAAGGCGTACGGCTACGACGAGCAGCCGTACCAGAGCAGTAGCCCCACCCAGGCGAAGAAGACGGCCGACGGCGGAGACGACGAAAAGGACGCGAAGAAGGTGGCGCAGAATAAGATGCTGATGCCGAGCTCGGCGTCGGTGAGCTTCTCGGTCAAGGGGTGGCTGCCGAGCGGGCTCAAGGTGGAGAGTATCATGATTGACCCGCGCAAGAGCAAAGGTCTTGGTGAGAACGTGAAGCCGTACAAGGGCGTCAAGTATTTGACGGTCAGCAAGGGCGGTGTAGAGACGCGGTGTTAGACGGAAACGCGAAACATGATAGCAAATATAAACTAATGAGAATTATTTTAGCTATTTTTATTCTCGGATAGTGCTTGAAGCAAAGTATGATTCACATGCTTTGGAGGGCCTCGGTTTCCACTCCGTCTAGTGGCAGACTAGTGATGCCAATTCGTTGCGGTCTAAGATTACCAGGCGGTGCCCATCAAAGCAAGCCAAGAGACGACTTTGAACCGCCCAAGAAGCCGTTTTCTTTTTTTGATACAGGTACCTCAAAATCGTGGCCTTGTTTGTTGTGACGGCTATAAGCCGAGACGGTGACTCAATTTTCAGCGTGAGATCAGAGTACAGCATCGGGGTGAGTCGGCGGCAATTGACCCCTGGACCCCCTGGGGGAGATCCAGCAAAAGCAGCCCCGCTCCCGGCGCAGCGGAACTGGTAACGCGCCTGTAAAAGAGCTGCCCAGGCTGCCAATCGCGGGGTAGGTACCTTTACTCCAGTGTTTTTCTTCCTCCAGCTCCCATTCAATCCTCGGCCTCGGGACATTCGGTTAGTGGCGGCCACTACCTAGGACCAACCGCCATTCCAACTGGCGTCATGGGCTCACTCCATCTCAGTAATTCGTATCTCACCCGCGCACCACGTTCCTGTCTCGACTATCTGCTCTCCGTTTCCCCCAAACCCCAAGACCAAGACCAAGACTACCCACGGCCGCCGCGCGTGGGCTGTGCTTGCGTGTGACACATTATCTTCCAACTCGGTCGCAAAAACCCGCGGACCTCCCCCCTCGTTGACACCTCTAGTTTTCAATTCTCTTCTATACTTGTTTCTAGAAGCTCTTTCGTGGCGTTGAGTCTTTGTCACTTTCTCTTACGCCACGGTACTCCGTTTAAACACCTACAGAGAAACAAACACACACCAAAGTGATTAAATCATTAGTCCATGATTGCGATCATCTAAGCTGCCCCAGCTCACAATTGGCTGGCGCCTTTGTCTTGTTTTCCCAACGGGCCATGACTACAACTCCCGGAGTTCACCACTCTCTCCGCCGAGGCGCCGCCGCCGTATGGGCCGATGGGCCCGGTTGCCTCGGTCGCAGGCGCGCCGTGACGGGCAGTGTAGCGTTTGAATCAAGTAGGCGGCATGTGTCTACATCACAGGGGAAGAGGCCGCGGACGGCGCTCTTCTTTCCAGGTGCGTGCGTTGCGATGCAGAGTCCCATGTGCTTAGAGGGGGGAAATATGAAGGCAGTGAGAGGGAAGCATTTCGAGGAGCTGACAAGTATATGTGACTATCGCAGGCCAAGGAGTACAAAAAGTCGGCATGATAACACCATGGCTCGAAGCCTTCCCCCGAACCGCGAAACCCATCATCGAGGAGATCGACCACTACATGGGCTTCAAGCTCTCCGACGTCATCGCCGACGGGCCCAGCAAGCTGCTGACCAAAACGCCCAACGCGCAGCCGGCCATCATGGCGACCTCGATCCTGATCCTGCGCATCCTCGAGCGCGAGTTCGACTTTGACGTCGCGCGGCGCGTCGACGTGACGCTCGGCCACTCGCTGGGCGAGTTCGCCGCCCTCGTGGCGGGCGGCTACCTCGAGTTCGAGGACAGCCTGTATCTCGTCCGGAAGCGGGCCGAGGCCATGGCGGAGGCGACGCGGCGCGCCGTCGAGGAGTACGGCGGCGAGTACGGCATGGTGGCCATCGTCACGGAGCCCGAGTACCTGGGCCCGCTGGTTGCTGCGATACACGACTTTGTAGGCCACTCGAGCGCCGGGTCGAAAGGGGAGAGCTCCGAGGACGTGCCGCCTATCGAGCAGGTGCTCATCGCCAACGTGAACAGCAAGAACCAGATTGTGCTGAGCGGGAATATCGAGCGGATCAAGACGCTGTCGACGCATGTGAGGCAGTTTCTGGGCCACGACCCGCGCGCGGTGCGGTTGAATAGCGATAGCCCCTTTCACAGCCCGCTGATGAAGCCCGCGGTCGGGGTGATGCAGAAGATATTGGCGAAAAAGAGCCGGGTGCGGGGCCGCGAGGCGGAGGACATTGTTACCTTCCCCGGCCGGCTGCCGTGCATCAGCAACGTGAGCGCGCGGCCGTTTGAGAGCAGGGAGGACGTCAAGGACCTGCTGGCGCGGCAGTGTCTGGAGACGGTGCGGTGGTGGGACAGCATCAAGTACCTCGACCAGGAGGAGAAGGTGAGGCGGTGGATCGGCATCGGGCCGGGCAAGGTTGGGCGGAATCTCGTTGGCAAGGAGGTCGGGATGAGGGGCAAGGACTCGGTCAAGGGCGGCGGCGTGTGGGCGATTACGGACCCGAGTGAAATTGAGGAGATGTTGAGGGGGTTGGAGGAGACGGAAGGGTTGTCTGATGAGGAGATTGAATGAATGAGGGTTATTTGGCGATGACAGCCCTCTGTCTGCTTCTTGGTGCAAAAATTCGGGGGGAGGTTATTCCAACGGCGCTTTCCTTTGGTATTATCAACTTTTCTCGATGGGCGTGTTAGCTCATGAGAAGGAGGCCGGGCTTCTACGCCTTCGTTATGAACATTGGAGTAATGATTTGGTTTAGCTGAGGTGTAATACTATTTCTCTACGAAGGGGGAAACACCATGATCCATTCTGGGCATCTTTGGAGATCTATCTGTATTGCCTTGACATGTAAATCACTACTTTTGTGAAGTTGACATGCCAGGAAACTAGGAGCTTGTTGCTGATGCCATTGCGGGGCAGCAAGGAGGCGCCCCAAAAAAAGCAATTAAGCTCCCGTCCACACCAGCTATTTCCTAGAACCGGCATCCTGTACCTTACCCCAGCTCTCCGTTCTCCAAACCACATCACCAAACCGCCCACACTCAACTTTTGACCGACCAGCAACACCACGATCGCATTCCACGCCTCGGCGCAGTGCCTTATCGAAAGATAAAACTTGAAACCTCAGGCGACCGAAAGGCAACACAAGTCAGGCCGCGCACAATGGCGACCGCCATCCCTTCCATAGCATGCATAGGCATCATCGGCCGCAACGTACGTCCTCCTCCTCACCCCCCCCCCCTTCCTGGCGCAGACCACCACGAACCTTTGTCCACGCTCGTGGTCCCGTTCACCCTCTTCCAACCTCCCTACGATCAAACGCATGATCTCAGCACCTCAACACCAGATCAAAAAGACACAAGGCTAACGCAACAATTCCAAACTCTAGAACAACCCCCTCCACATCCAAATCTTCCCCTCACACAACCCCTCAACAAACACTTTCGCGCCGATCCGCACCCCTCTACAATTCTCCCTCCTCCTCTCCTCGACCCTAGACATCTTCGAGCTCCGCCACGGCAGCAACAATCCCTCCAGCGGCGGTGCCGCGGCCGCCGCGGCGCCAGGGTCCACGGGGACGGGTCTGTCCGGCGAAGTAGGCCTCCTCCACGCCGTGGACGAGCGGCTGGCCGCGTACGGGTGGGAGACCAACACGGGCGTCAAGATCGTCGTCGTCGTCGACATGCGCGGGCGGAGGGTCGCTGGCGGGACGCCGGGTGCTGGTGCCGGCGGCGCGGAGACTGCCGCTGCTGGCAAGGGGGGCCGCGGCGCGGTTGGGTTGCGGGAGCAGGAGTTGCGGGTCGTGTTTCGGGCTGTGCAGAGCGCGTATGTGCGGTTGTTGCAGAATCCGTTTTACGAGCCTGATGAGCATTCGCCTGTGAGCGGGCGTGGGGGGCGGGTGATTAAGAGTCGCAAGTTTGAGGGGGAGGTGAGGAGGATTGGGGAGGGGTGGACGCCTGGTGTGACGAATCTTTGAAGAGGGGTTTTGGAGTGAGAGTAGCGGCGGTGTGAATCTGAAGTTGAAAAGGGGGGTGAAGAGTGGTTCGTCGCCTTCTTTCTTGGGTTCCTTGGAGTTTGGGGGCGTTTGATCATAGAAGATAGATGCATCGGTTCCGAGGGTGTGATGTCAAGTATGGGTTTTCTTTTCTTCTAATGTGAGTACCGGGTGGTACCGGTAATGTAAGATATCTATCCATCATGAAGACTCAAAGGTCTCGACGTCGTCTGAGCGACGTATGCTAAGTCCAGCACCGCCAAAATGCTATGCTATGCTCCGTGAGATGGTACTCTCAAATGCGATAATTCTCAAAACCAAGAAGATGAGGAGGGGACACGAAGAGAGAAAGGATAGAGCAAGGTCATCCAACGGAACTTGCCTCCCTCATGCTCCTCGTACTCCAAATGCCCTCCACTCCTCGTATACAAAAAAAGCCACCGAAAATCAAACTCTAGAGACGCACGCTATCCTAGGATGAAGACGAAGACGAAGCTGACTTTTCCCGCCGACGCTCAGCCTCCTCCAGAGCAGTCCACCTCTCAATGACGAGCTTATCTGTTCCAAACGGCTCGTCAACAGGCCTCGCCGGGCCCATGACGGCATCGCTCTGCTTCCGCGGCAGCAACGGTTCATCCCGCTTAGGCTTGGACGGCGCCGAGTCCTCCCAGTGCCGCGCGGTGCGCGGGACGGGCGTCCACCACTCCGAGGGGTCACCGCTGCTGCTGCCCCTGGCGTGCCACGCGGCGCTGCAGAGCTCCCATAGCCGGCTCGCGGCGCGACGGTACGCGAAGCGCTCGTCCTCACCGATGAAGCCGGCCGTGTTGCTAAAGTTGGGGCTCGTGGTGTTGCTGCTGCTGACGTTGCCAGCGCGGCCAAAATCCGAGTCCTGGTCCGGATCGTACTTCGAGGTCGGAGCCTCGGTGTCGTAGTAAGAGATGTTCGGGCGGAAGGGAGCCGCGGAGTCTTGGTAGACTTCGGCAATGGTCTCGGAGTAGATTGCGTCCGATGAGACGACTTCCTCCCCGGATACCGCCGCTGCCGCTGCCGCCTCTGCGGCGGCAGCCATTTCTGCTTGGGCGGCGCGGATGTCGGGGAAGAAGAGGTCGTCGGGGCCGGTCTGGGCGCGGACGAAGAGCTTGCAGCGCGCTTCGTAAAGGGCGTCGAGGAGGGTGATGAAGCGTCTAGCCTCGTTCTTGTGGAGCGT